TATAGGTTTTAAATTCTTTTAACTTACAAATAATACAAATAATAAATATCTCAAATTAGAATTGAAAGAAGTTTCCAACATTCTAAAACATATTGATTCATAGATGCATCGGCATCTACGGTCATGAGTTATTAAATCGAAATTAATGCTAAATAGTTCGTGAACTTATTGTTTGATAGAACTTGTATCCGTAACAAGTATTTGGTATAATCTTAACTACGTACTTACTTTACGTTCGAAAGTTCATCCCAATTTTCTTCAAGTGTCGTTGGCGATGCTTAAATATATCTGAATTGTTAAAAACAATTAACTTGTGTACATATTCTGAAATGTGATATTTCAAAAGTTTTTTGAAAAATGATTTGTGTATGTTAGGTATCATCTTAAATTTGAAAAAAAAAATCTAAGAACTGGAAAGCCAAAAATTCTATTATAGAAATATTCTGCTTATGGAGAAATTGCATTAACTTAATGAAGTATGCAAAACTAATTTGCTAAGTTTAGAGCAGGTAATAATGATGAAATTAAGACTTTAATCAAGAATAACCCGTTCTACACGATATGTGAACTGGCAGAGATGTTTAAAATATCAGAAACAACCATCCATAAGCGTTTCTTCGTTACATAAAACATTACAATATATGAGTTTTGCACAATTTAACTGACAAAAATCTCACAGTATTACTTGTATTTTTCCATATGTAAAATACACCAGACAATCGGCACGAACTTTTACGACAACTAAATAGGCGTTTCTTCCGTTTTTATAACTGGTTAAGTTTGGTTTGCTTTGTAAGAATTCTTGGAAAAAGAAAATCATTATGTCTTATGAGTTTTTAATTCTTTTAACTTACATAATAAAAATCTGAAATTAAAATTGAAAAAAGTTTCCAACTTTCTAAAACATATTGATTCATAATTCATAAACATATTGATTCATATATGCATCGGCATCTTAAATAGAAATTAATGCTAAATAGTTCGTGAACTTACTTTTTGATAGAACTTGTATTCGTTTTTAAAGTATTTACATCTTAGAAATTATCCAATTTATAACTAACTTTAAACTTCTTACACAATTAATGAGCAAATTGATATAAGTTTATTGAAGAATATTTAATTGCTGTTCTATGATTTTCAGATTTGTCTTTAGTCGAGAAGAAACAGATTTTTGAACATTGTAAACTATAACATTTCTAATTTATTAGAAACTTATTTAAATTCTACATTAATTTCGTAATACCATTTATTTATTTCCGTAATGCAAAAAAAAACTAACTTTAAAAAAAGTAACTTTAAAATCAAGTTGCACAATATTTTGTGTTTACATAAAATAAAGAAATAGTGTAAGGAATTAATTAATTATTCTATACTTTTGAAACAATATATTTGTTATTAGTTTTTATTTGATACCTTATTTCCTGAACTTTCAAATGCGAATCCAACAGTAGCATCTAAGAATATCTACAGGTAAATTTAGATAAGCTACAAGAATGGCTTAATAAATGAAGAATAGCAGTTAACGAAATGAAATCCGTGCATATTACATTAACGCTAATTAAGACTCTTACCCAACTGTAAGACTTAATGGACAAGATCTGCCCAAAGCAACAAAAGTCAAATATCTAGGCATGCATCTAGACATAAGAATTAAATTAGAAATAGTTTAG